ACAAGGGTGGACTATGCATTGTCCGCAAGATTAGAGACATTAGCTATGATAAGTTCCAGAGTGACATTAGAGATAGCTTCGCAGGCATTACACATCTGGATGACATCAGTGTTGATGAAAAGGTTGATATCTACAACCGTATATACCCTTGCCACTGCACTTGATCAGCATGCTCCAGTAATACAGAAAGTGATATCACTGCATCCTCATTCTCCATGATATGATAAGGCTCTGAAGAACAACAAGATAGGTGTTCGCTTAAAAAAAAGAAAATGGAGAAAGTCTGGAGATGCTAATCACAGGAAGGAAATGCTCACAGCAACCTCTGAGTATTACCAGCTTTTAAACAGGCGATGGAAAATGAGCTTTATAAGTGGTACGTCTTATTAATATGTAAATAAGTATCAAACTATCACAACGATTCAAGAATTTATGTGAAAGAAATGTATTGTTAACAAATCTTATTGAGCAGGCTCAAGATATCAATCTGATAATGGGTGAACACATGCAGTGTTCTTCTCAAGAATGAAGCTTCTATGGAAACAATTGAAAAACACTTGCATTATATTGGGAAACACACATTTTAAGCTTTATTCCTCAAGGGTGTGAGCCTCTACTTCATTCCCCAATTGATCTCTACACTTTTCAAGTGTGAGGCTTTGGTAGAATCCCTTGTATTGGCTTGGGATAATGCCCGTTTTGCACAGCTCAAGAAGATCCCTTTTCTTGGCAGGAGCAATCCCAGTGGGGTGCTCATAGAGGGTCTTCAGATCTTCCCTCTGTCTTCTCCTATTTCCATGAACACGAATGTCCTGGAAATCCTCTTGGAAGTTCGACCGAACCTTCACAGACCCTGGGTCGCTCTTCTGCACCCTAATTTGGCGGACTGACAGCCAACTGACTGTTTTGCCGGTCGTGTCTCGATTTGCCCCGGAAGGAAACAGACGCTGAGAAAGGTCTTTAAGGTCGAGAAATTCAATGCCAGGGACACTATTTATGACATATGGCTTCTTCCTCCTGGCCATCTGCATCACCCCTTGCCATTGATCCGGATGGTGGATGATACGACCCTTCTTGGCCCTCTCAATGCAGCTATGCATACTATCAACCTCCATCTCTGTGTGACCACTCAGGAGGAATTTGTGGTCGATGGTATGCAAAGATGCACTAGTCTGCACCACATGAAACAAGCCTGCAGCCACATTTTTGTTTCGATTCTGGCCAATGCATGAGTCTGAAAATAATGATACTTCTTCAATTTCTTCTGGCAGACCCTGAAGGTATCTCATGATGCAGGTTCCTATCTCGCAGGAGCCACGTCTTGCCTCAAACTCATGCCACACATAACATGTACCATCATGAGAAACCTGATCGAAAAAGGTCAAGTTATATGTGGCCAGCTTCCGCTTGTAGTAGAGGGAGGAAGCATTCCCGGTTGGAGTGTTCAGTACTTGCTGCAAATCAAAAGTCACACTATGAAAAGTGTCACTCTCAGCCGCTCTGATTTTGTCGAGTGCTTTTTCTTTTCGGCAGCTTTCTTTTAGAGAAACATGATGATCATGCTCTTGCTGTACAAGGGCCTTTTCAACTGCGCTTAAACCATCGAATGCGACACAATCCTTGCAAAGGTCTTTCTTTGGCTGATGAAAGCCAAGATTAAACTCTTTTAGGAAGACATCTCGGTACACTTTCATGGAGACTGGACTTATAGTCTTTTCCATGTACAAATCATACATTTTCGAAACATTGAGGTCAGTGGTCAAATATTGGCGTGTAGTCGAACTTCGACAATAATGGCTTTCTACCCTTGGGAACATGTTGATGTGGTCCCTGACTTCATTCAGCTTTAACTGACTAGTTTTGTTATGTGGCACACTTTTCTTTGTGTTTGTCTTTCTGAAACTACCACAGTTGGTTTTTTTGATCGTGTATCTTATCAATTTCTCATTTACATCTAGTGTGTTACAGAAGAACTTGTAGCACACCTGTAATTTGTCATCATCATTTGGTAAGAAGTACTTTCTAGAGACACGTGTGGTTTGAGCTTCTTCTTGATTTTTCTTGTTTTTGTTCTGAAGTTTTATGTGATTGACAATGAAATCACGTTGCCTGTAGAAATTGGCTGTACCCCAATAAGCATGAAAAACATCATTTCTCTGAGCTTCATTGAACTTTTCTCTACATTTAAGATGACAGTGTTCTGAACAAGGGGGTCCAATCTTTCTCCTTGGGACCTGCTTGCCAGCCCTAGAGGTGTAGTCTAGTCCTTTGTCTCTCATATCCTTCCGAACATTTCTCTGCCATCCCTCCTCATTTCTCACACGAGGTGTAGCTCTTAAACCCTGTATAAAATGGCATAAAGTGTAAATGCTAAGGACTTTTAATGCTTTAATAGATATAGTCCATTTTAATCAACTTTGTCAGCACATCCACGATTTCCTTAAGTAGAGCTTCCAACCTATAAGTAGTTTCAGTGACTACAAATGCAAACAAATAGTTTCCAAATGTACTGCCTTACAAAAGTATTCAATACATTAGGCTTGGGGGTGCACCATGTGAGACAGAGGGAGGTTTGAGGACTCCTGAAAAGGACTGTTGGTATAGTCTTGAAAAAGACTGTTGGTTATCTTTCTTAGGTTATAGTTCTAATGAGAACTATAGCGCTTGGAGAGGATGAGTGGCGGGAGTGGCTCGACGTTTCGAACAGGTTGACAATCCGTCGTCAGGAGTGGAGAATAGCTGGCGTGCGTAAGCTTAAGTCACCGGGTTGCGGACGTCGGGGAAAAATACATACCGTGTGGGCTTGAGTCATCGGGGAGTAGACATGGATGGTCTGCTCGTCCGTATGAGCTGGAGTCTCTGGGTTGCGGACATGGGGGAGTTTCGAATCCATGAGTGGGGTGTGCATGCTGTTGGCGAAACGCTGTGTGTGTCCCCGACGTTGGCGGCATTGTAGTCTGCTGTCGTCTGCTGTGCATTGTAGCTGTGCATGAGGCTGGAGGCTGCTTTGATGGTTCGGCGGGTGGCGGGTGGCGGTGGTTGATGTACGGGTGTCTGTGGGGGTGGTGAAGGCAGTGGTGGAGGTGGTTGTGGAGGAGGAGTGACCGGGTACTTGTTGATAAGGGGTTTCTAGATGTCGTTGATTTAATCCTGAGTCTTGGGGCACGGTGTTGTGGCAGTGAATTTCAATGGCTTCTCGGATTCGGCGTGTATGCCAGTGCTTCATTATGGAGATGAAATGACTGTTATCCCATTCGATGGTGTGTTCGTGCTGCTGGGCGTGTTTGACGATGGCGGACTTATCCCAATCGCTGAGTCTGAAGCTGGTTCTGTGCTCCTTGAGTCTTGTTTCCAGATTTCTCCCCGTTTCACCAATGTAGACTTTTCCACATTCGCATGGTGTTTTGTGGACTCCAGCTTTCTTGTGGTTTGGATGCTTGTCTTTGTGGGAGTAACTGTGTCGAACTTGGATGTCTGCTGTTTGAAGGATACACTGAATCTTGTGAGAGGCTTGACCGATATAGGGAAGAACAACAGTTTGTTTCGGTGGTGTAGCTGCGGGTTGGTTCTCTTCGGGGATGGTGATGGCTGCGGGCTTGCTGGCGGGAGTCTTGGATTTGATCTTATGTCTTGGGTATTTGTCGATAGTAGTTAGGGCTGTGGTGACATGCTGGATTTCCTGGTCTAGATGGTCGGCATCGCTGAGTTGATGGGCTCGGCGGATGAGGGCGTTGGGGACTGATTGTTGTACGGATGGATGGTGGAAGGATCTGTAGTGAAGATATCTATCGCTGTGTGTGGGTTTCCTGTAGACTTGGTGAGCGGGCTTGCCGGATGGCGATTTGGTTATGAGGACGTCTAGGAAGGGGATGCTGTTGTTTTGCTCAGTCTCCATGGTGAATTTGATGCTCGGGTGATGCTGGTTGATGTGGACGAGGAAGTGGTCTAAGTAACGTCTGCTATGTGGCCAGATGACCAATGTGTCGTCGACATATATCGGAGCCAGAGAGAAGGGCATTGTGAGAGAGTCTGGAGTGCCGTAGTTTCGAAGTGCTCCATGAAGATTTTGGCTATAACCGGTGAAAGAGGCAATACCATGGCTGCGCCTTGAAGTTGCTGGTAGTAATTGTCTCGCCATTTGAAGGAAGTTGAATTGAGGCAGAAGTACATGAGGTCATGTATTTTATCCGTTGTCAGGGGAGTTCTGTCGGGGAGGGTGTCGTCAGCTTCGAGGCGTTCTTTGATGATTCGGCAGGATTTGGTGACAGGAACATTGGTGAAGAGAGATTCAACATCGAAACTGACCATGATGTCTGTATCGTGTATGGTGGTCTTGGAGAGGATGTCGACGAAATGCTTGGAGTTATTGATGTGGTGCTGCGATTGTCCTACGAGGGGTTGGAGAATCGAGGTCAGGTGTTTGGCTGTGTCATAGCAAGGCGATCCTTGGGTTGAAATGATGGGACGAAGTGGAATGGTAGGTTTGTGTATCTTCGTCTGGCCAAACAGGATGGGGCAGGTAGCTGAAGATGAGCAAAGTTTGAAGTAGAGTGGCTTGGATATGACTTCTGTCCTGTGAAGAGAGAGGAGTCGCTGGTTGAGTTTCCTTTCCTTTGCTAGTGTGGGATCTTTCTTTAGTTGTTTGTAAGTCGGAGTTGTAGTCCACTTTGTTCAGAACTACTGAAGCATTGCCCTTGTCTGCATGTAGAATGTGAATTGACGGGTTGCTGCGTAGATCTTTGATAGCGGCAAGTTCTGGTTTGCTAATGTTGGGTTGTGGTGGCTTAGCTGTGGATAGGGCTTGGGTGACTTGGAAACGGATTTGGTTATTGGCCTTATACTGACTTACCTGGTTTGTCTTGGAAGCTAAGTTACTATTGGTTTGTGGATGTTTATCTTCATGTTTCATGTACAGTAAGGTCAGGGAACCTAAAGGATGTTGGCCTTAAACTGACTTACCTGGTTTGTCTTGGAAGCTTAAGGTTGTACTGGATCATCAAAGATGGTTGCCTTCATTCATATAATCATGTAATGTCTGGGAACTTTAAGGTTATTTGCTTTAATTGACTTACCTGGGTCATCTTGGAAGCTAATTACTATTGGTTTGTGGATGTTTATCTTCATGTTTCATGTACAGTAAGGTCAGGGAACCTAAAGGATGTTGGCCTTAAACTGACTTACCTGGTTTGTCTTGGAAGCTTCTGGGTGGTTTAGGATGTTGGTCTTTATTCATTTATCATGTAAGTTCTGGGAACTTAAAAAGTTAGAGGCCTTAAACTGACTTACCTGGTTTGTGTGGGTGTTCGACTGCGCTGCACTAACTGCACAGTCGTCGTCAATGGCCTGTGTGTTTTCATTGGTGTCGTCGTTGGATATCTCCGCTGCACTGTCTGCACATTCATCGTCAGTGTCCTGCCTTCTTTCCTCCATGTCTTCGTTGTCTGGCTGAGGTGAAGTACCTGCACAGTCCCAGTCCTGTTAGTGTATTAGAGAAAATGTGTTGCAGGAATATGGTTTCATCCAATTTGCTAACCCATCATATTTTGTACCTTTACTAGGGTTTGTTTTTTTTACAGCAGTTTTTACATAGAAAAGAACAAGTTATTACCTAATAGAACTATCTTAAATGATTTCAAAAGTATTCAAGTTCAACTAAATAAAGTTAGGGACAACTTTATAAGGTTATTGGCCTTATACAAGCTTACGGTTGTACTGGATCATCAAAGATGGTTGCCTTCATTCATATATAAGTTACCTGGTTTGTGTGGGTTTTTGACTGCGCTGCACTGTCAGCACATTCATCGTCAGTGTCCTGCCTTCTTTCCTCCATGTCTTCGTTGTATGGCTGAGGTGAAGTGCCTGCACAGTCCCAGTCCTGTTAGTGTATTAGAGAAAATGTGTTGCAGGAATATGGTTTCATCCAATTTGCTAACCCATCATATTTTTGTACCTTTACTAGGGTTTTTTTTTTTTTACAGCAGTTTTTACATAGAAAAGAACAAGTTATTACCTAATAGAACTATCTTAAATGATTTCAAAATTATTCAAGTTCAACTAAATAAAGTTAGGGACAACTTTATAAGGTTATTGGCCTTATACAAGCTTACGGTTGTACTGGATCATCAAAGATGGTTGCCTTCATTCATATATAAGTTAGAGGCCTTAAACTGACTTACCTGGTTTGTGTGGGTTTTTGACTGCGCTGCACTGTCAGCACATTCATCGTCAGTGTCCTGCCTTCTTTCCTCCATGTCTTCGTTGTATGGCTGAGTTGAAGTACCTGCACAGTCCCAGTCCTGTTAGTGTATTAGAGAAAACGTGTTGCAGGAATATGGTTTCATCCAATTTGCTAACCCATCATATTTTGTACCTTTACTAGGGTTTGTTTTTTTTACAGCAGTTTTTACATAGAAAAGAACAAGTTATTACCTAATAGAACTATCTTAAATGATTTCAAAAGTATTCAAGTTCAACTAAATAAAGTTAGGGACAACTTTATAAGGTTATTGGCTTTATACAAGCTTACGGTTGTACTGGATCATCAAAGATGGTTGCCTTCATTCATATATAAGTTAGAGGCCTTAAACTGACTTACCTGGTTTGTGTGGGTTTTTGACTGCGCTGCACTGTCAGCACATTCATCGTCAGTGTCCTGCCTTCTTTCCTCCATGTCTTCGTTGTATGGCTGAGGTGAAGTGCCTGCACAGTCCCAGTCCTGTTAGTGTATTAGAGAAAATGTGTTGCAGGAATATGGTTTCATCCAATTTGCTAACCCATCATATTTTTGTACCTTTACTAGGGTTTTTTTTTTTTTTACAGCAGTTTTTACATAGAAAAGAACAAGTTATTACCTAATAGAACTATCTTAAATGATTTCAAAAGTATTCAAGTTCAACTAAATAAAGTTAGGGACAACTTTATAAGGTTATTGGCCTTATACAAGCTTACGGTTGTACTGGATCATCAAAGATGGTTGCCTTCATTCATATATAAGTTACCTGGTTTGTGTGGGTTTTTGACTGCGCTGCACTGTCAGCACATTCATCGTCAGTGTCCTGCCTTCTTTCCTCCATGTCTTCGTTGTATGGCTGAGTTGAAGTACCTGCACAGTCCCAGTCCTGTTAGTGTATTAGAGAAAATGTGTTGCAGGAATATGGTTTCATCCAATTTGCTAACCCATCATATTTTGTACCTTTACTAGGGTTTTTTTTTTTTTTACAGCAGTTTTTACATAGAAAAGAACAAGTTATTACCTAATAGAACTATCTTAAATGATTATCATATGACCATTATTATAACAATTCTTCTTTTGAGTAAAATATTATTAAGTTTCACCACCAGTGTTTCCCTCTATCCTCTTTTTATGTATACCAAAAAATAAATTCATACATGTCTTAGAGCTGACATATACCTTGATGGTCTGCATACAATGATAGATGATCTTCTCGTCATTGTGTTGCTCTGGGATAGGTACCGTTTCATTCTGTTTATGAAAGAGTAATACAAGATGCAGAAGAGAAATGGTTACTAGAAAGCATTGACATTATATTAGTTATACAATAGTTCATACGTAAACACTCTGAAAGAATCATTGTTGGTGACGAGTTAACTAAGGAAAATCAAATGAGTTTGTAGCAATCTTCTAAGCCTCAGATACAAACATCTCATGCAAATCCAGTCAAGAACTAAATCATGGTGATAACCTCCAATTCTTCTTGGGCAGCACATGCATTCACAAATAGGAAATCAATTATCAATGACATTGAAGTACAAAAGAACTTATTGTATTAAAAAGACGTGAGATATTGGTACTCTAAGGACATTGTAATGACAGATATCACACTATTTTTAGAAAAGTAAATGCTACCGGTATTCATATGATATCTTCTTATTAGTTCAGTGACTTGAAATATAATCAAATAATACTTACAAAGTATGAATGTGAGCCACATGGGTCATCCCCCATCCAATGCCCATGACACAAAAGTGTATGGCAACGGACACATGCAGCCCATACTTCAACAAAACACGATGGATGCCCACAATGCTGCGCGACATATTTAGTAGAACATTGGTTCACAGATCTTTCTGCAAATGAAAACAAAAGAAAAAGTTTAAAGTAGTTTTCAACAAGATTTTAAACTTTCCTCTCAATGCGCACACTGACAGGCACTTGTATCATGATCTCATAAGTAACTATAATGGGGATTAAAATAGAACTGTGTACCTCAAAAAAAAGTCTTCTATTTCATTGTTGATGATTTTCATGCTAACATTTGAGATAAATGATAATTGTATTCTATAATTACATGAACCACTTCAATGCAAAGAAGATTACATTAAAACAGATTGAGGAAGTGTTGTTACAATATCCTACAAAGAATGAATCGTTGGAACAGTATTTAAATATGGGTAACTTACTAGCAAGGACAGCTAAAGGCATATTGTCATCATCACTGTCGCTGCTGTCGCTGTAGTCATTCTCTTTCTCTGGCTCAGCCTCTCTCCGGTCTTCAACAGCCAGAATGGTACCCTTCCAGCTTTGCCGTCTCCACTTCATTGTACATCTTGACCCAACCCACACTCCATCTATCTCCTCTAAATCCTGAACAGCCACCACATTCTTTTTTCCGGTTTTCGTCCAACGGACCAAAACCAGGTCTTCTGTATCATTCAGCATATCTATAGAACATACATGTAGAAATGGAAAATAATTAACACTATTTATAATTGTTTTTTCTTTGCTATATTTTCTTACGTGCGCAATGAATAAACCAACAATTATTTTCTCAAATCTCAAATCAAATATGGTAAATTAATCTTGTTGGTTTACTCATGAAATTCAACAGGGCCTGAGTTTCATACTGTGAGTTGATATACTTATGAATTAAAAGTTTGAATATCAGCTTGTCTGCACCTAGACTACAGCTTTTAGACTTTGTATCAATATCACAATGTCTAGACTTATCTAGAGCATATCTTCAATGTGATTGAATTGTGTTGATCTACATCTAGGCCCATTCATTAGTGAATATATCAAACAAAATGTATGCCTTGCTGATAAAGATCATTGGCATGCGCATTTCAATAAATCCAAACACCAAATACAAGAAACCAAAATCCTCAAATAATGAGCAGAGATTATTCAACACTATAGGCTAGGCTTTTTTAAAGTTTTAGGCTAGTTTTAGTAACACTACCTTTGCTCGAGTTAGATCTAGATCTATAGCAGTGCAAATATGGCTATTGTGTTAATTTACAGGGACACAGCAATCTAAAATTACATCATGTTAGGCTTGGCCAAATATCAGGCATAATGTTTTTATCACTAATTGACAAGTACAAGTAGGTTTATTTCAGTCTCTTAGTCAATTAAAAAGTAACAGTACAGAGGCTGGACAAATCTTCATAACGGTTCGGGTAGGTAGCATAGCCATAATGGAATATATTACGACCAGTGAGATGGGGTCATAATTCTACAGACTATGTACAGTACAGTTCATAGTTTCAAGCTAGTAATACAGTCTACTATACTAGATCAAGACCTTTTGCCAAGAAACTGAGAGGCTTATAGAAGCTCAAAAACAAAGAATACCCTGGCCCAAGTCACTCAGCCCAACCTAAGCCTAGCGAAGCCGTCGTAGACTACTCGTACTAGATTTACTGTACTAATACTAGATCTAGATCTACTACTACTAGGCCTAGATCTATAGTCATAGTGCCTAAACCAGGGCACAGATGCCGTTCGAAATTAACGAAACGTGAAGGGTATTATATTATATATTTTTTTTTACAAACTTGGCTTCATCTGATACACAGTCAATAGGCCATTATGTAATCGAAACCCAACTAGAGTCTATAACACGACAGTAAAGTCAACCTGTGGGGCTGCCCAGATTAGATATAAACAAAAGGAATACCCACGTAGACTGATTGAAAACAGCGATGGGAGCGCCTAAAATAACGTTTTCATGTTTCTTGTTGTGCATTTCAATTCAAACTAAGTCATTGTTCAATTATGTTAATGATTTAAATACGGAATTTAGAAAAATAACTTACTTTGAATGACACATCTAGCGGACGAAAATTTAGCTCCGTGAGCTCCCGGATTTCCTTGCAGACGACAAAATATTACAATTGCGGCTTTTGTGCATTCAACGCGCGAACTTTGTCACTGCACAAAAGCCGTAGCGCGAATAGCGGCCAATGTGCAGGGAAATTTTGTGCATTACGGAGATAGCGGCCTTTGTTTTTGAAGAATATCTTGATAACAAAGACGAATCTGGAAACAAGCGACATATCAAATTGTAGCATTTTTAATTCTCTACATGATGCAAACAAAAAATAATTTTCAAAAAATTTGACCAAATTTGCCGATAGCGGCCTTTGTGCGGGCAAGCGACGATATCTTGTATATTTTCTGATAGTGTCATTACTGCGGAGCATATTCAGTGATCCTCAAATTGGCAAATGAATGCAATCAGCGGGGAAAGGTCACACCTGTTATAGCTATGGACTTTGTAGGAAAGTTGGATGTTGATCCAATAATGATGTCACAACATCATTCTAAGTTTATAACCACTAAAACATCGTTCAGGCACGCCATGCTGAAACGACTCGAAAGGAAACTACTTCGACAAAGTAAATAGCGTAGTGAACATTACAAATCTGTCCAGTCCTTTGATGTGTGCAGCTTTTTAAAAACCTGATTTTCCATTGACTACATCTGTTTGTTTTTTTATTGTTTTGTTTTAAGCAGTTTATTGTGTGTGTACTTTGTGTGTTTGTAAACAAAGCTTATGATGATGAAGTGGAGCCTGTTTATCATACAGCTATTGCACAATCTCCCGATAGTCTGAGCATGGTTTTAACATCGACACTGATGTAGGGCAGGAGAATTTTAGGGTTACGTAGGGGTGGGGTGAGATAATGATGGGTCACATGTCGCAAACAGACAGCATTGAACAAAACTGAAATATTTTCTTTCGTTAACAACAATAAATGACAAGAAAAGGGTTGTTTTTAATATAGGAAATCAGCACATATTAATGTACAATTTTTAAAAATATACAATCTCCATTTTGGGGGAAAGAAAATACCATAAAGATGCACAAATGTAACAAAATATTACAAACAATAAAACATACCCAATAGCATGAGAAACTTTGGGACTTAGGATTTGTCTTCATGTCACTGAAAGAAGACATACATTTCCAAATAAAAGGATTTTCCTCACAATTGTTCTCCCTCTAAAATCTCTTATTTCTGTTTTTTGTTGAAGCTTTTTTTAAAATAATTGATTGAAAGTAAGTTATTTGGGGGCTTGAGTTGCCCTTCAGAAGGTCACAAAATCCTAATCATTTCCACCTAAAACGCAACTCTCAGTTTATCTGTGCATGATGATATGATCATATGGAAGTTTCTTTTGTTTTGCTTGTAAATAGAGACAGTCTATCAGAATATAAACAAAGTTCAAAGTTGTGTTCAGATTTAATGGATTTGCAATGTGCTGGTGAAGGTGATTTTGATGCAAGTTTTGATTGTTTTGTGAAGGAACTTCAACCTGAAGCGAGACCCTGATTCTATTGGGTCATGGTAAGATAAGACCGGTTCTGAAGTTCATCTTTATTACTATCATGTGTATGTTTAAACAATTATTAATTCAACATCAGACATTTACTATCATTTCAAACCCATAATTACCCAAACGTATCATCCAGCCACTTGTTTTGCCCAATTTGGTTTCTGACACTGCTATTTAGGGGCTGTCTGAAAGCAGTCATGCATGACTTCTTGATTGTGATTTTAGTATCATATGAAAGAAGTTAAATAATCTTTACAATCATATTTCATTAACCAAGAAATAGTTTGAAATTATTGAGGTTGATTACATGTTAACTTCTTTTTCCTTTTTTTTCAGGGACACCCTATATTTTGAGTATTGTGCTAAGACAGGACAGTGTTACTTAATTCTAACTAGTTTACTACAAAGCTGATATAATAATGATATAGGGATACATGTCATAAATGCCACCTATATAAAGATTTGTGGGAGGAAAATCCCATAAGTGCAGGCGTCATTTGGTTACCGGCAAAATGGCTCGTATGGCATTTAGATTTCATTATCCAAGCAAACATTCTCTGCTACGTTGAACAATGACTGATTATCACTTTACCGAGTGAAGAGAATCATGAATTACCAAAGGCTAATCATTCAGACTTGATGGATCACCACTTATTAAGAACTAACCTAGTGAACGGAACATGTGCACAACCCATCGTTTAGACGGTACAATCAAGCAATACGTCCGCTGAGAGCCAGAAGGGCATTAACTTACATGTATATATGCTTTTACACTGGAAGCAAAATCAGTTCAATTTTTCTCAGTTTTGTCAGAAGTTGCTAGGCAACTACACCTAAAAACAAACAAAACAACAAAAACAAATTGAAAAAAGCCACCTCTGTAGTGTGGTTTTTTTTAAAATGCAGGCCAAAACTCCACCAGTTTTTCGCAGAGTAAATGCTTAGTGCTCAAAATACCAGGGAACTATTCTGGTTTAAATAAATGAAATTGGATAGATTTTGTTTTTGTCGCCAGGCAACTACACCTAAAACCAAACAAAACAACAAAAACAAATTGAAAAAAGCCACCTCTGTAGTGTTTTTTTTTTTTAATGCAGGCCAAAATTCCACTGGTTTTCCGCGGTGTAAATGCTTGTGCTCAAAATACCAGGGAACTATTCTAGTTTACAAAAAAATGTTTTGATTGATTTTGTTTCAAATCTTATTTTTAGTGAATCGTGGTGAACAATAGTTAAAGATTGTATGATGGTGGAGAGGGTAAAAATGAGCTAATAGTGCATCTGAGAGATTCCTCATTCTGATGTTCCTTGCATTAGATGACAAAAAAAACCTTGATGCTCTCATTTTACCTCTAGCTCCATGTATAGTGATTCCTGTGGGAGTGAGAGCTATGAATATCACTTAGCCTACAGGCTCTCTGCTTCAGATAACTGAAAAATATACAGCTGATGATCCAATTCTCTTGAGAGTTGGGAGGAGATGGATATGAAAAGAGCATTCCCAATATCTGTTTCCTTTCTCTCTTTCACCCTCTCTCTGTTTTTCTGCCTGTCTCCCTGTCTCTGTCTCTGTCTCACACTCTCTCTCATACAAAACACACACACACATTCTCTCTTTCTTTTATCTTTTTCTTTCCATTAAAAAAAAAAATGTTTCTTCTGTGTGTGTGCGTGTGTGTGTGGGTGTGTATGTGTGTTTCATTCTTTATGTCTCTCTCTCTCTCTCTCTCTCCATCTCTCTCCATCTTTCCTATTCTTTCTTCTTTTCCTCCTTTTCCTTCTGTCTGTTTTTGTCCTTTCATTTCTTATTATCTTTATCTATTGAAATGTGTGTGTCAATCACTTTTTTGCTTCGACCAGTTTCTTCATAATACATAGTATACTACCCCCTCGCCCTCTCTCTTATGTCTTTCCTATATCTCTCTCTTTCTGTCTCTTCTCTTTTTTCACTCTTTCTCTCTCTCTCTCTCTCTCTGTCTCTCTCTTACTCACCCTCACTCCCTTCTCTCCCTTTCTCTTTCCCATCCCATTTCACTCCATTCTCCTTGAGAGTATAACATGATGCCTCACATTTATTGAAAAGCAGACTATTTTGGGATATTCTCAATGCAGTATTTAATTTTGGGAGAAAGGAACACCAATCCTACAACGTCTGAAGTATATAGCAGCTGCTGAAAAAAAGTGGAATGGCCTCCGGACAAATAGTATTATGTTCTTTCACATACGAGCTCAGCATTTCTATGGAGCGCAATAAAAAAAATTCATGCTAAGTAGAAAATTAAAGTTAGGGAAAATTTAACGCATTCGCGTCACTGATGCAAGGAAACCACTCTTAGTTTCTACACGAAGTTTCCAATATCTCTGGTTTGATGTTGACCCCGAGACCTACATGTAATGAATGCTTCTATAATTGTCACATTAGATTTCCTGTTCTCTTGAAGAAGAAAAAAATGATTTGGTGTCTGTAAAGCATTTAAGAATATGTGTTGAAAATTGTGACATAAGAAAATGTATTGCTTGAGATATTCATGAAATTATATGATTCTGTTTTTTCATGATACAGGATATTGTTTCTTCTTTATATTTAAGTGAGTGAACCAGCTTGTGGCTGATCCATTATGAATTTCTTTTCCTAAAAAATTATGTTTACATATGTTTTCAAAGGGCTTTTGCCATGTTTCTCAACAGATGCATAACATGCAATTATGTTTGATTGGAAGGGGGTGTTTAGTTTTAATAAAATTTAATCATCATTCATTCATTCATTTATTACCAAATATTCAAGATGCATTTGATTTCAGCATGAAATATTAATAAAGCTTTAAAGCCTATCTGCACTAGTTTGGCCAGGAAGGATAATACCTCCCTGCATGGTCACTAACAGGTGGTTATCTCATCAAGCTCTCAATTAAAATAAGAAAAAGGGGACCATGGGGGACCAACGGCCATCACTTAGGCATTGTTTGCTATATAGAGGGTGCAAGTAGCTCTATGTAGTACAGTGGGGCTTTAAGTTATCTTGATATCATTGTAAATTGCTCTCTTTTTCTTCTCTTGTCATTGCAGCTACGTGGGTAGGAGGAGGGTACATTAATGGTACGGCGGAGTATGTCTTTACGCAAGGCTATGGGCTTCTCTGGACACAGGCCCCATGGGGGTATGCTGCCAGCTTAGTTCTTGGTAAGTAGCATCATCATCATCATCAGAATCAGAATCACTAGGCCTGTCCTCATCAGCTCGAGTTTACCAAATGGAGCCCGCTATTTTGTGATCCGGAAAATTAGCCGAAGTTACAAATCGCGTCTTCATCAGCTCGAAACTCAAGCTCGAGAAATTTGCTCAGTGTTCGCGCAAAGTGCGAGTCTTCCGGCTGGTGAAGACGAAACCACACACAGCGGGCTATTTTGCAAACTAGCCCAAGTTATCTTGAGAAGATTTCTTGAGAAAAATAGCCCGCTATTTGCATCTTCACCTGCCAAATAGCCCGCTATTCCGTGATCGGGCTAATTTCCCGAATCGGAAATAGCTGGATATATCGAGCTGATGAAGGCAGGCCTAACACCTACAAGTATTCACCAAAGGCCTTAATTCAACCAGTCCACCTTTCATTCTTGATTTATGGGGAAAAAACACCAAAACACGTAATTTACCAGGTGTATTAATTTATTTGTTAACTGTTAGTATGGAAATAAATATCATTATCATTTCTTGGTAAGACCATAGTGTTAATGGGCCAATGTTTAATCTTTTGTATTTCTTTGATGGTCTTGTCCATTCTAACCCAAGCTCGTTTGTTATGACTACAAACTTTTGACTGTAAAACATATCCTCCCTTTGGTCATTTCAAATTAGATGATGGAGCAAAAAACAGATCATTACCATATATATATATCATGTAAATTAATTTTTTAAGTAATTTGGTATTGACATTTTCTTACCGCTATCATTTTTTCTCTTTAATCTCCTTGGTCGGCTCTCAATTTTCAAAATGTTAGTAAAATATCCAACAACACAAAATAGAAAAATTGACGTCACAAGTGCTGTTGAATATAATTTATGATATTGTGTGGTGTCCCCCAAAACCCAAAGTGATAATTTATTTATTGCCTGCGGTGGCATGGAATTGATGGGTGATGATGGAGGTAATTTTCCCCCTCTTGATCATTGCTTGGTTAAGGGTATTAGATTTGTGATACCTGGGGACTATATACCGGTAGCCGGGTATTGAGTGGTGAAAGAGAGATGCGGGTAAAAATGATAAGGGAATAAAAGTGAGGCAGTACTTATTGATTAAACACTTCCAAGAAGTAGATTGATGCAAGGAGTTAATACAAAATTGTAAATGCAAATTAAATTTTTTGATTTTAATGATATGATTGAAATTATATTGATTCTAACATTGTTATTAGAGTCGCTTCTCACATGACTCAACAGATGAAGCAACAGTAATATTCTGATTTACATATTGCTTATTTTTTTTTTTTTTTTGAAGGATTGTATAGCGCATCACATCAATGCATGTAGATTGATAGATAGATAGATAGATAGATAGATAGATAGATAGATAGATAAATTTATTGGTCCATATTCAAAACATAGAAAATTGGCCTCCACTGGCAGTACATAAAACAAAATACAAATTAGTTACAAAATAATTGATAAGCACTTAGGTGTGTACGTCACATAATGTACAAATTCACACGAGATCATGACATTAACAAAAAAGCACAAGTATAAATTACATAGTAATAGGGAAAACTTAAGAAAGGAGGTAATTGTGGGTAATTGGGTGATGACAGATTAATATCTATTTGCTATTAAACACACAGGCAACATAATGTTTAAACATTAACACGATTACAGACTGAATTTGCTCATCATTTGACAGATAATGAAACAAGTAATGGTAAATATGCACGGCCTGTTTGATTTTGAAGTATAGCAGCGAAGGTGATGGTACTAGACTATTTGGCATTTCAATAAAAATCAGAACACCGATATGTGCTCTGATTTTATGAGTGCATTGGGTATCAAAATGCACATGTCCTGCATTAGAAATGTGAATGAAAGTGCAGATTTTATGAACAGGTCAATTAAAAATGAGGAAATCTGTTCATTCTATGGAAAATGTTTGAAGATCAAGGATTGTATGGACTTTATTTGAGAATGTAATGAGATAATTTCATCAAACAAATTATAAAGTGATGAAGGATTAATGAATGAGAATGAGAGTGAATTTTTGTTTTCCTCTTGGAACTCCCAGTTCTAAGACAACTGCTTCTAGCAACTTTGCCTCCATGTTTCAAAATTTAATATGTTCAAAACTAAGCCTGAGATGAAATAGATTGTATGGAAAATGAGTGTTAAACAAATCACAGCATATCCAGTTAGTTAAGAATCATCAAGCAGGTACTGAATGTGCTTCCCTTATCTTGTTTAATACAAGTGCTCATGTTTTATCATATTAAAAAAATAGATATGCAGCTTTATGTACTGTACAAATGATACTCTAGTGTGCTTACCGGTAATACAAAAAAAATCTTATTATTGACCAGATATTTTCTGAGCCACCATGAAAAGGCGCTTTAACTTTAACATTTATTTCACCTGGGTATATGGAGAGTGGCAAATGTGGATTACTGATTTGGCAAAGGACATTCATGCTATGGCTGGCATTTGAATCCTGTACTTTGTAGTCCACAGTCTTGGAACTTGTCCACTGAACCACAACGCCTCTGTGTTATTAATTCTCACTATTATCATATTATTTCTTCTCATCATCTTATTATGATGCTTTTCTTCTTCTTCTTTACAGGTGGTCTTTTGTTTGCCAAGCAGATGAGATCCCAAGGCTACGTCACCATGCTGGACCCCTTCCAGCTCAAATATGGCTCCCGTATGGGGGGTCTGCTCTTCTTACCAGCCCTCATGGGGGAACTGTGCTGGTCTGCTGCCATCCTTTCTGCTCTAGGTAAGCAAAATCTCCATTTATGTTTTAATTTTTAATATTTTCATTTATTATTCAATATTTTTATGTGTTAATGTTTATTTTATTGTTATAAATTTATTAACATTAGTTTAATCAATTTATTCATCTACCGTAAATCTCTGTGTATAAGACGCACTTTTTTCTGCTGAAAAAAATTGAAAGTCTTATACACAGGCACAATTTTTTTTGGTCTTAAAAATACTGTTTAAAAGATCACTTCTGTGCAAGGCGTTAGATATACCAACTGTTCATGCACATACACTGTAATAACTAGCATTATCTTTGGAGCTAAAGATTGAAAAGAAGTAAGCATCCTCCCATTTCTTTGCCTGCCTTGTTCCTATCTAGGTGCAACAATTAGTGTTATCTTGGATCTGAACATGGAGATCTCAGTGACCATCTCGGCCTGTATAGCAGCGTTCTATACGTTCTTTGGAGGACTCTACTCGGTAGCTTACACCGATGTCATTCAACTCATCTGCATCTTCTTTGGCTTGGTAAGCACCAGTACTTAACCTGTTGAATACCAAATCCTCTCATTCCCATAGGCGTTTGTACAGGGGGCAACTCAGGTCTGTAGGCAATGAGTTTAATTGGGGGGAAAGTTTCCTTAAATTTGACACAGAATGCTCTCAAATCCCGCCCCCCCCCAACTCCGGGGAACGGATTGACTTTACACACCGAACTTATGGGGGTGCTGAAAAAGGAGGGAACATGCATATGCGTACCCTAAATAACACTGAGTGGGTGGGGGTGGGGGGGGGGGGAGCCGGGCCTCAAATAGCCCTGCATTTTCATCATTTAAGGTGTTTTTGTGGTTGTTGTTATTCAGAATCTTGGGGTAAAGGTTACAGCCTCTCTAAAGTTTTGAGAGCCCCCACAATTAGATGGCAAAATTTCACTGAAACTATATCATAATGTGAAAGAGAATGTCATTTGAGACACATTTCTGCAAGGATTTTTGAAACAAATGTGTTTAGAGTCAAATATTGATGAAAGAATACAAAATTTAGGTTTTCTTTGTACAACAAAAAACGCAAATTATGTATTCTTTTATCAATATGTGTCTATAAACACATTTTTTGGGGGAAAATCTTTGTAGAAGTGTGTCTTTAATGACATCCTCTTTCACATTATGATACAATTTAAGTGAAATTTTGCCATCAAATTTTCGGCAAATTTGGGGTTTCCAAGACTTTAGAGGGGATTTAACATTTAGGTTTTGTACTACTCATTCACATAGGGTTCCTCAGTCTGCTTCTGGATAGCCCCTTCCCTCAATTTTCCTTCTCTACGATCAATCTTGGAGTAAATGTTGCTTTTTTTCATCGTTAAATTGGGTTTGAAATACATTGCTGTGGAATTAACTTCACACTGATGGTAACTGGTACTAGGAAGAGATACAGGGCCATGTTTAATTTCAATGCATAGTTCAGCACTTCATACTCTTGGCTGGGATGCCAAGAGAACATCAGAGAAAAAATGCACTTTAAAAGTCACTTACTAAACATAATGGCAGCTATGCCAAAGCTTGGGTAATGTTTGTGGAGCGTAAGGAGTGTCAAGTCTGACAGGCTTGAGCTTTGTACAAGAACCTACCATGATAACTTGCAATATATATATATATATATATATATATATATATATATATATATATGCCTTAAATTTTTCAGAGGGGGTAACTTTCTGCCTTTCTAAGATATTTAAGAAGGCATTGGCAATTCAATGCCAAATTTATCATTTGCAAAATCCGTAGACCTATTTTCCTTCCCAATAGTGGGTTTGAAAGAATGCAGTGCAAAATTTGTGACTTTGAGCAGGTAAAATGATGTATCCTTCTTATGAATAATAAATACTTAATTGCAGGTATTTTTTCTTCTTCTGTTCACAGTGGCTATGCATACCTTTCGCCCTGACCCACGAAGCCGTCCTACCAATCACAAACACATCCAGCGAATGGATCGGTACATGGGACAACAAGTATGCCGGCGTCTGGTTTGACTATGCCCTCCTACTGGTGAGTTTACACCTCGCCGGGAGGTGTCTCTTCATGTTGACTTTGTGTCCTCTTTTCGTATGAGGCAGCAGAATAAACAAAAGAATAAACAAAAAAGTATTATGAACATAAACAAAATTACTTTGTTTCAATAGTGGCCATGGACCACCCCCCCCCCCCAAAAAAAAAAAACAAAACAAAACATAAACAACAAATATCTGACTTTGTGTATTCATGATAATTGGAAAGTTTGCAATATAAAGGGGGGTGATGAAAATGATTTTGCTTGAAGAAAACAGATCAAATAAATAGCTTTCTAAACTATATTTCTGCACAAAAAACTCCTAGGATACTATTGTGAAAAAGTGACAGTTTTCTCTATTGCATTTGGAACGGACTGAAGCAAATGAAATATGGTACGTTAGCTGTGACTTTATATTTTTAAACTTTTCTCTTGTAGATGTTTGGCGGTATTCCATGGCAGGTATATTTCCAGCGTGTCCTGTCGTCCAAGACTGCCGAGCGAGCCCAATGGCTCTCCTACGTTGCTGCTGGCGGCTGCATTATCATGGCGGTCCCTCCTATACTCATTGGAGCTATTGGCTACAGTGCAGGTAGGAATATGATCAATAGCCTTTTTAAAAAAAGATGTTGTATTGCCCTTTAGGTGCCAAAACATGGGTCGGGCTGTCAGAAATCTTTTTTTTTTGTCTCCCTCTTTGGGCTGATATGTCTCAGTTTTGAATGCTTAAGTACATTTTTTTCTAAAACGGTGGGGAAAAAAAAGAAAAAAAAAAGAAAGCCGACCGGGCAATACAACATTTTTTTAATAGGCCTAATGGTTGTGATGGGGGATTCTGCTCCCACTGTCGATTTGATGCGATATTAGTTCCAAGGATAAATTATTTTGCACTACCAGCTTTCATCACTTAGCCTAGAGTCTCCTTCATCTCTTTGAACTCCATTCTTTTTGAGATTGAGATTAATCAGGCACAGATGCAGTGTCATGCTGCACACATATCCTTGTGCATTTATGTACACCCTGTACTGTTCACAATGCAACTATGGGAACATTTAAGTAGATTTATGTAGAAGTAGATATAAAACTTCTTGCACTTATTCCTTAAAAGATGCTCTATCATCAAGCCAAGTTTCAGATTCTGTGTGAGTCTATTAGTCAGATGGGTTGGTGTGCCAATCCCTGGATTAGAGATTACAAGATAATCTGACCTAATTAAGGTTAAAACTGCAACCTTCTAACCAACCCCTTGAACCTCATCCATTCCTTCAAGGATGTAATATTTGCCCCTAGAATGATAGAGATTTAGCATGGTATAACATTATGGTGTTCCTTATGTATGAATTTTCAATAGGAAATGAATGAAAGATATACATATATCAGTCATCATTACAATTTCACTCCTTCCAATTTTTTCAGATTGGTCTCAAACTAAGATAGACCTCAACAAGACGAGACCTGACGAGAACCCAGCTCTGATTCTACCTCTTGTCATCCAATACCTAACGCCCCCATGGGTCTCCTTCGTTGGTTTGGGTGCCGTGTCCGCTGCCGTCATGTCCTCCGCGGACTCGTCTATCTTGTCCGCCAGCTCCATGTTTGTCAGAAACATCTACAAGCTCGTCTTTAGGCAGGGGGTAAGGGTCATTGATTGATATAATATCAAATGGAAGAAGGTGATGGAGGTGGTGAGAAGTAGGACCTTGTCTGTGGTAGTGGTGGTGATGGTGGTAGTGGTGGTGTTGATGGAGATCGTGGTGGTGGTGGTGATGATGATGATGATGGTGCAATGATGATGATGATGATGATGATGATGATGATGATGATGATGATGATGATGATGATGATGATGATGATGATGATGGATGATAAAGATGATGATGATGATGATGATGATGATGTTGATGATGTTGATGATGGTGATGATGATGATGATAGTGATGATGATGATGACAATAGTGATGATGGTGATGATGATGATGGTGATGATGATAATGATGATGATGGTGATGATGATAATGATGGAGATAGTGGTGATGATGAAGAAAATGATGATCAGAAGGATGGTAATTATGGTGATGGCTTGAAAGGATCCAACTGTTTGTTGCTCATGATGTGCTCTAGTAGTCTTAATTAACAGTGAATCATGATGATAAAATAGTACTCATCACAAAAAAATGATAACCATCAACCTTGGAATGCATCCACAAAATCCACTGCTTGCACTGAAACACAAAGGATGGCATGGTTTACTAATTTCATTTCACCTCACTTTTCTCATTGTCTAGGCAACAGAACGTGAGCTCCTCTGGGTTCTCCGCCTCTCCATCGTCGTGGTGACCGCTCTGGCTCTCGTCATGGGGCTGACCATCAAGTCTGTATACGCCCTCTGGTTCCTCTGCTCTGACTTTGTCTACGTCATCCTGTTCCCTCAACTCTTCTGCGTGGTCTACTTCAGCAAAGTCAACACCTACGGTTCCTTCTTTGCCTACATCGTGGCCTTGTTTCTACGTCTGGGAGGTGGCGACACCACGCTTCGCATACCTCCTTTCATCAAGTACCCGCTGTACAACGACGTGGATGGGCAGTTGTTCCCGTTCCGCACCTTCGCCATGTCGATGTCCTTTTTAACTTTAGTCATCGTGTCCTATTTGACGAACTTCATTTTCTTGAATGGCTACCTGAGGAAGCAGTTTGATGTCTTTCAGTGCATCGTGAACATTCCGGAGCTCCATCGTGAGAAGTACGACACGGTGGACGGCGAGAACCTGCAGTTGAAGACGATACAGACGGACGGCCCAGTGGACGGGATGCAGCCCGGTGCCAATGACCTCTTGCAACGAGACAAGCTCCTCGATCTCGGCCGCAGCATCATTCCAGGATCGATATCCAAAGAACCGCTGAAGGACGACATGGATGATTCTCCGGAGAGTCCTGATTCACCGGAATAACACCAGCAGTCCTAGGCTGTAGTCAATTGTATTGCAGATAAATTATGCTGTGTGTGTTTGTGTGAGAGTGGATGAGAGTGAGAGATATCGATAGAGGCAGTGAGAGAGGAAAAAATGTATGAGAGTTCTTACTATAATATTGAAATCATGAACAGTTTTTTAAAGTAAGCATCTGTACTTTCAATGAGGCATTTCTATAATTACATGTAAGAGTAAAACTTTGAAGCATTGAGAATGACATCATTTCTGCTGTCTATGACACATTGTCTTCCCTACATGTAAACCATACCCTCTTCAGTCCTAAAGTAATTTCAGCGTAAGTCATCCGAATCTGAAAGTAACCTTCTTTAATCTGTTTTAGGTTGGTAGGGGATTAGGTGTACATTGTCTCAGTTACAGATCTGTTCTGGTTTAGAAGGGGTGCGATGGTGCATCCCTGCTAATCCGGAGTAGTTGCTTTGTGGCATGATACTGCTGCAGACAACTGTTTCTGAAATCTTATCCCTGCTGTGCAAGTAAAGGCCTGTTAACATATGGCTAAACCACAAATGTTCCCTTTTTTGTGTGGAAATGAATTCTAAGTGGGGATTTAAAGAGTACCATTTACATCAAAGGACATACTGTACCCACTTACATGTATCTGTGTGTTATGAGACGCAGAAATATGAAGTACACTATACTTGCCGGTTTGGCCTGGCAGTTTACCGCTGCAAATGCGAACAAGACTTAAATTTATACTATTCGTAAATGAACTTTCAATGAATTAGGTGGTTTTAATTCTTCCGGTTTTACTCAGGGCATGCAATATCCAGCTTGGGAACAAACTTCACAAATCAAATAGGTTTGTTTCAGGAGGAAAAAATAGAAGAAAACGAAAGGCTGACTCCAAACATGCACTACACCATTGCTGTTTCTTGAGTGGGAAGAGTCATCTGTTCATAGCCAGAAGGGCGTTTAACATATGTGTCAAAGCAAAGGAGTTGGTGCCCTTCTGGCTCTCAGCAGATGAGTACAGTGCTGATATGCTATGACAGACTACATTCCAAAATATGTCATAAATTCATTCCTGTCAGAAAATGTTCTTGTTCTCTCAGACCAAGTGAAATATCATTCCTTTTTCATACTATTCTAATATTTTTGTCCTTGAGAAGGTAGTCTGAAAAATGTGAGGTACAATGAGTTAACCCATAGCAGTTCAGACTTCTCTTATTTTCTAAATCAGTTTTCCCTCCTTCAATTGGCTACATTTAATCTACAGTCAAACCTGTCTATAGCAACCACCCAAGGGAAACACAAAAGTGGTCTTTGTAGACAGGTTCCTTTAGTATATGTTTCAATGAGAAACCATTTTCAAGGGAAACCAAAAATGTGGTCTTTGTAGCTAGGTGGTCACTAAAGCAGGTTTGACAGTATTTTCCACTCCTTCATTGTTTGAAGAAAAATTGGAATTTTCAGGCCTATAAAATAACAAATGTGAAAGAGCATAGCAAAATTGAAAGTGATGTTTGTTTACACCGTGACGTTGCCAATTTAGAGACTCTAATGATTATTAACAATTGAATCACTCTCATTCGAGCTTTGATCGCCAATACTACGTTGGAAACAGAATCAAGATTTTCTTTGATGACTGCTCTTTCTGATCATGTATAAAGTTTAATTCCTAGCATTGTGGATCAAAAGATAATGAAAGAAAGAAAAAAAATAGTTATTAAAGAAGACACTGTGCTGTTATGGGTTAAATAGGAAAGGTAGTAGCCTGTGTTTTATTCGATGGCACATTTACTTTCCCAAGATGCAAACATCAGTGGGTGAGGACCCATTATAATGGGGAGGGGGAGAAGGGGTACCGCCCTTTCAGGAAAACCCTTCAGTCTACTACTTCTCCCAAAGCCTACGATGCTGCTTCGAGTATAGAGAACAGAGAAACGTAATACTGAATATTCTTGGGAAGGAACCAAAGACTTAATAATCATGTTAGCTGAATATTCGAGATATGCAATTAGCGTAGAGTGGGGGCACTGTGATAGTGTTCACATTTATAAAGCTGTTGACCTTTGTCAGTTATGCATGTTTCAGTTCTTCTATATGTCAGATAAATTATGTACAGCAATGATTCTATTGAGAATTTTAACTTTATGATACGTACTACAAATATTTGTGTGTGTGTGTGTATATTGACGAGAGTTTGCAATTTAATATACAGATCAATTATAGTACAGGTCAAAAGCAGGTCGTCGTGTACCAAAAAGCATTCTTTTGTGTCTGTGCTTTCATTGTAATTTATTAAGTTAGAGGTTTCAATTGAATGGAGCATATCAGTTCAATTTGATTTGGTGTTTAATTGGTATTGCATTTATTCCATATTTTTACTTCAGTTTTTGTCAACATTCCCATTTAGAAGTATACGTGAATTTGGAATAGTTTCCCATCGCCATATTATATATATCTTTTGTGCATAAATGTGCCTAATGGATATGTACAGTCATTACTGTCCATAAGAATCTAAACTTGCTGTTCTTCATTCCTCTCTCCGTCGCTGTTTATTAAATCATATATATATCTTGATTCATGCAATTCTGTGACCAAACTTTCTATATAGGGAATTGACAAAGATCAACAATGAAATTCAATACATACATGTATATATCTTTTCAGCAAACATCCTTAATAGGAGTTCATCTTTAATAAGGTAAACTGTTTCGGTACTAGCATGTTGTTTTTGTTTTTGCCTCATATGTATGAAAAATGACAAACGGCGTCGATTTCAAGAAGAGGATTCCAAGCATGGAGGAGAAGGAAGTTTCAAGCAATATTAATTTTACCACTGGAGAGTTTTCGTTCACTTGTATAGAAAGCACTTGCAACTTTGAATGACTAGAAAATGGGTTTTAATCAATATTTTCTTTCTAGTATAGAGGTATCAGATCATTTCCTTTGTAAAAAAAAGAACAATCATGACTTATAAGTTGTTTATATTCATTTTAAACTCATTTTGATCTTTTCTTGTATATGTTGTAGGTAATGAAAATATCTATATTTTGTAAACTTGGTGACAGTTTTGTTTCCTCTTAGAATGTACAGTTCAGGTATTAGATTTTAAAGGAAATGTGAAAAGTCAATTTATTGATCTATTTAATGTGTACAGACTGTTATTATATCGGTTATATTTTCCTGAAAAAGTGGGACAGTGGTGTAGACTTTATCATCCGTGTTATATATGCAAAATTTATTGCAAATAAGATGTCCATGTACTAGGTGTTCTTTCCTTCAATTAAAGGGGAAAACTACAGAAGGTAAAGTAAATATTTCTTCGATGTGACAGGCAATAATTGTGTGATTTGTGCATGAGCTAGAGATTTTTATCTGCATTTTATGCAACATTTCCCCATCCTCTGCTACCATGCTTTAGTACTATAGTGGTGTTCCCCCAAGACGATTTTGATGGAGGCTGTATTTTGAGTTACCCAATAAGTTCAATGAGCCATCTTTTCTTTCACTAGTGTACAATATTACTTATTAAGATGTCATACCTATCTTTTTAAACACTTTTTTTTGTTATGGTCGTTTTAGGTTGCCATGAATGTACTTTTAGAATTGACCAATTTATATTGTATCCCAATTTTTATCTGTCTACTTATTAATGGATTTTTAAAATCACAAATTATACCATGCATGTAGAACCTGGTTAAGCAGTTGCTTTCATGTTACACCGGTTGTGTAAGCTTTCAACATGTTGCCAATCGAAGGATTATGAAGCTTATTTTCCTTTTTAAAATCCTGCAATGAAACGTAATAAGGTGTCGCAAAAAAATAGAATCAATATTTCCAATAATATTTGCCCTTTAACTTGTGCATCCGGTATATATTTTACGGCTCTGAATCAAAATTTAGTGAGCCAAAATGATTTTGATGTTTTGATTGTCACAAATTTCAGATACTTAAAATGAGCTTTCTTAGATGTATGGTTTATAATTAATGTATTGTTGCCTGAATTGTTGCAGTGAAATAAATGGGTTGTTATGCAGATTCATAGCACTGTTTCATAAAACTTAATATTGTCAATAACAAATAGCTCCTGATATCATTAAACTTGATTGGTTGTGAGCAAATGTATCAAATGAATGTGGCACCATATTGCGAATACCAAGTTTTATAAAATGGGCTCAGATGTTCCAGGCTTTTATGCAATATCTTTAACGGAAGCTATCAGTTACAGTGCAATGATGAAAGTACAGGGTTACTAAACTTTTTATGGCATTGCATAATACATTTATCAGGTCTAAATTGGATGAATCTATCATAGACAGCATTTTATTGACAGGCATGGTAATAATCATTTGCAGTGTAATTTCTTACATTCCCACTTCAAATGATGAACTTGATATTAATTGTAGTTATACGTGTAAATACCCGTTTTTATTAAAATTGCAGACAATGAAGAGAACTCATTTATAGAATGTATTAGGTGCTGTGTTGTACATGTAGTAGGTTTTGTTTTATACATTATGAAGTTTTCTCCCCAACTGTGCGGATGAGGTGATTATTTTGTGATACTGTGCACAATAACATTATTAAACATATCTTCAGTTCATTTGTCACTGCTGTCAGAGAAGAATTATAATTAAATGTTATTCATTCCCAAATATTCAGCATGTGTTAAATATTGTTTCTTTTATTTTAGTATATTGTGAAAGTTGATTTTAACCCTTCAGTTGCTTTCTTCGCCACTATTCACGGTTGCTCGTTTACCACACATGCAATTTAGCACAAGGTAAAAGGCACCTATTGGCCAAAGAGTAACTTTGTGCAACACAATAACTTTGCTAAACTATGACTACCTATTCAATTGGCCCTGATTAGCTCCATGACAACCCTTTAAAGATAAGGACCAGTTATGGTCATGCGATTGCATTGTGAAAGAAACGTTGTGGAATCAATCAGAAAAGGTTGATCATCTAGCATATAAGTATTGGTGTGTACTGCAAGGTTCTGGAATCATCAAAATGATAGGAAATTTGGCCCAGTCTTGGTAAAGTTACAAGCACTGTACACAGAAAGATTTATATGGGACTACGCGATATCTATCCAGTCCGGATAGATATAATAATTTACCAAATATATCAATTAGTAGGCGGTTTCCTTGCAAAATTTGTATGATCACGTATAAGTCAAAACATATTCTTTCACATGATTGGTAATAAGAGCTTCCATTTTATTTTATGAGAGGGGGGTGTTTCCACGACTGGTTATACCTTTACCTGGTATAGATTGATCTTGCATAGGAAACAGATATAAAAAACCTGGAGCCTTTGGAATAAGCTACTAGTCATTCCTCTGATAAGTATAATGTAGCACAGGGAGATTATTCATTTGGCATGCAAGGAGTTAAAAGTAACTGCTAATGTCAAGTTCTTGACAGAAATACAATTCTGAAGGCTCAAATCTTGAACTCCAAATAATGTTTAGTAAAACTGCAAATAAATGAATATCTGCCAAATGATTTTGGAAGACGTGTATAATGGCTTAGTAAAGAAATACAAGAAGAATAAATCATGAAAAAAAAAAGTGATCTATGTGATGGAGTTAATGCAATTGAGATAAGAATATACTTTTTATGGTGGACAGTTGCTAAAATCGATTTTGATTTATCATTATTGATTTACCATGGAAGAAAAGTAAGGGTTTCATGTAGAGTTGAAGAGAGAGGCACAAAATGTTTATTACAGTTATGTATAGTGGGGAATGGATTTTTTTAAAAATATATGCTCTTACCCATTTCATGTGTTTTAAATTGTAAAATATGAATGATAGCAATGTAAGTAATACATCCCTTCTTGGACGGATCAATGATTGAAATAACCTTGCATAAATTCTTATAACGGCTTGTTCAGATAAGTCACCGTGGAAGGTATGCTGCCCTTTCCTTGATATCTCTTAAAAAATAAAATAAGTAGAAGACAAAACAAAATGGAGTGGTGGTTTATCCTGGATGGCTAGCCATTCTTTACCAGTTCTTTTTATAATGTGGATCGGAGGGGTGTATTTCTTCTTCCCTTCTACTTGATTTTGGTTTATATTTTTTTCTTTTCTTTTTGGGGTGTTTTTTTACGGGACGAGGGGGGGGGCTTAACGTTTGTTTCTTGATTAAGGCTTGATCAATGCACTGTATCAGTATCCACTGGTAGTTACCATAGCAACATATTTTTAAAAAAAAGCAAAATTAAAAGAATAAATAGATTTTTTAAAACTCCATCGATTAGCAATGAGCATTGTCTTCCTGGGAAATTTTAGGTAGAGCGCCATCTTTAGGAGGAGCACTTCACAGGAAGATGAGAAAACAAATTTCGAGATTACTTTGTCATTCTTTTCTTTCTTTCCTTCCTTCTTTTTTCCTTTCTTTCTTTGTTTATTCCTTATCTGTCTGTTTTTCTTTCTGTCCCCCCCCCCCCTCCATTCATTTTAATGTCTCACTCAGGGGTTTCATCGGTGTATCCATTATGTTCACATAGACCGGCTTGAATCTGGGATAGCCTCGCCGTCCCCACAGTTATTTTTCTTTTGTCTGTAGCTCAAAAAAAGACTAGGGTAGGGAGAGGGGCTACTCTCCCGGTTGCTCTCATATCAGACCAAGATAAATGTGCATTCGTCATTCGATTCGGGATTAGATTTAACAGCTTTTGAACAAGTTTTAGAAGGAAAACATTGTCTATGTGTCCATTAATAAATTATGATGAATAGAAGAAAAAAATGTGTTACATCCGCTTACATTTTAGTTTTGTAATTTATGTTTCCTTTTCTGTAGAAACAATGGGTCGAGAAGGTAAATCAACTCCATTTTCCACCCACGTCCACTTTCTTATGATTATGGCTTTTTACAATTTCGCTCTTTTACCTATATATTAGTCATGAATAAGAAAATGAAAACAAAAATAGAAATGTCAAGGCGACATTATTTTCGCAGGTTTCCGTTTTATTTGTTTAATGGTTGGAGGGGGAATTGCCATTTAAATTGTGTCAATCGTACGCTGTTTTCATTTTGAATGTGTCGCATCATTTTGTTTTTTTATAAAAGCAGCTGAGAAATATATATTTTCAAACCTCGATCCCCTTTTAAAATATAAATTTATGATGTGGTAATGATGTATTTATACATATGGTTTATTACGTTTTTGTATTTCGTTGCGCATTTTCACTTATATCATTGAAGGGGAAGACCAAGTCGTTTTGGTAGAAGCAAAAATATATGAGGAACATAATTATCAATGAAAGTCACAGTGAGCAAAATTGTATTTATAGAAATAAGAAACTTATTTGTATAGGCCTAAGTCACAAATAATCAAACACAATATGGCGATATCGAGAATGGAAGAGAATAAATCAAAACCATTTCATTTTCAGGGAATTAAGAAATCAACAGACAATATTGACTGCCCAATCGCAAATGTGAATTCCCTAGATCTCCTTTCGGCAATAAGCCATTTTCGTGATTTAATTAGATCGATATAACGCACAATTTGTTTTTCTTTTCATTTCTTTTACCTGTTACAAATATTTGTATTTCTATAGTCAGAATACGAAATTCATGAATTAGGCTACGTGATTTCAGGAAGGACAAATCAATAATGTTTGTCCTTCTTCGTAGCATTTATTGATGTCCTATGCAAATCGCATTCTCGGCTATTGAAATACGTACAATTAGTAATAACACAATGAGCTGATTTAAATAATCTGTAAAGAAGATTTGCGCTTTAAATTCGATTAAATTAATATGAATTGAATGAACGTTTTACTTGAATGGACTGAAAAAGCTGCGAAATTAGCCGGGAAACCCTATAAAACAAGATAATTTTAAACACTCAAAAAAACCTCAACCTAAGGCAATATGTGTCACGAGCTAAAACTTTCAGAACCACGAACTGGCACTTTTAGTTATTTTTTTGAAAATTCTAAGAGGCGTGTAAGTTTCAGCATTCCAATAATTTAAATCGGATATTTTTCACTCGATGCATGGCTGCAATAAAAGAGAGAGAGAGAGAGAGAGAGAGGGAGAGAGAGAGAGAGAGAGAGAGAAAGAGAGAAACAGCCTTTGTTTTTTCGAAGAAAGTACAGTACGTGTTACGGATGTGGACAACCCAGGGATTAACTTAAGGGGGATTAAAGACGTTACATCCTGGATCTACATCAAGTGACGTGCCCCTCCTTCGAGCTATAGTGTAATAGTTCACGCCTACGCTGCGGATCCACATTTTAAAAACAAAAACGTTGAGGTCCGGAACGGCCCGGTGTATGCCCCCCCCCCCCCCACTCTCCTACAACGGTTCCACTGTTCCCATGGAAATCCACCTCATCGCGTTAATTCACCATTGTTGTTGTTGTTGTTGTTTTTTGGTATTATCGCCGTTTCATTCTTTTTGAGAATATTAACGCCTTTCACATTTTTGTTTCTGTTTCGTTTAAGTTTTGTTAATTCGTACTCTTTATACATCTCTAGTTTTTGACAATATTTGTTCTCTTTTTTTCTTCTTCTTCTTCCTTCGCTCTTTCCTTCTCATGAATGGCTCAATAAGGGATAGAGCAACGTCGATCTGGCGCTGCTCAGTGGCTGCCGGGCTCACGATCAATTGGGCAAAAAGAATTTCCGTTTCGGTTTAATAAAATTTGGAGTGGACTATTAGGCTATTATTATTATTATTATTATTATTATTAATATCAGATTCACTGGTCCACACAAATCCCTCAAATAACTAGTAGGAGCACTTAAAACGCCTCGTTCTACGAATTCCCTTCCCATTCCCAATGGTATAAAGGAAATAGAAAACTATGCCAATTTTAAGAGAAAAATTAAAGGAATACCTAATACTTGAGAGTCAGAGAAGAGAAGTAATGACACGTTTATGACTGAAATTTGTATTCTTCTGCCGGTTCATACTTTTTCATTTTGTATATACTTATGTTTTTGTACGTTACAGAAATTCTACAAATTCATCATTATTTTCCTCTTCTTCATCCTCTTCTTTTCTTCTTCTCCTTCTTCTTTTTCTTCTTGTACTCATTTTCATTTTTATCATCAGTTTAATGTTGTTATTATTATTATCTCTAATAGGTTATTTTTTTCATATATATTTTAATATGTCTGTAAATATTACTATTTTAACTTATCATGATTTTGCACATGTCTGTATAGGCCGGGGACCCCACTAGAAATAAGCTCTCGAGAATCCGTGGGTTATCCTGTTCAACAGTTCAAGCTGACTTAATTTTGATCTGTTATTATTGTATATTGTTTTATGTACTTGGAAGCTTGTCGAATAAAAATCAATCAATCAATCAGCGCTCTTTGGATCGCACTTTATGTTTCATTATTTCATTTCGGGGTTGGTTATCAACATTGCTCGTTCTCATTTTGGACGTTCCGTCAGATAGTGTGTTATTGTTTTTGGGGTGTTACAGAATTAATAATTTGTGTTGGCTTGGTCAGGTTTGGTTGTTAGGGATACCCATATTTTTTAGGGGTCTGCGTTTATAAAGTCCTATATGTTGTAAAGTCTGAGCCTGCGAATTACTATGTTGAATTGTTGGTTTATCATTTAGTCTTTTGTTCGATCAGTCAGTTCAATATGGATATTGGATGATTGGGGAGTGTAGTTGTGCCAGGAGGGAATGGGAGGTGGTATTACATATTTTCATTTGTTATTCTCAATCCAAAGGTGCTTACTTTTGTATTCTTTAGCTTTTCAACATGAATTGCGAACATGGTCGGATGTTTGGTTTTAATTCGCATCACATGACTGGTGTTCTCGCCGTGTTCTCGTTCTCTACTGCACTGCCCACAGCAGCTGTTCTTTCGTTTCGGCATATTCGCGCATGCGCCATTGCGTCAGATTAATTTACTCGACGAGGATCGGGCATTCGTTGGAAGTTCCTGCTAGCTAGCTGCGTTGAGAAAGTGGTAAGTAAATTTCATGGATATGGATGTGAGAACTTGACGAATTATTTTAAATGTATGCGTTTATCTGTAAACATTTGCAGTTCTTGAAATATTTCCTTTGTACAATGTTTGAAATGGATGGTATTTTGTCTTGTGCGCAGTTAAGTTCGACTGGCCAGATGTAGATCTAGTAGTAGCTGTTTTTCGCTGCACGGTTTCTCGCCCCTCGGTTTCTCGCCGCATAAAAGTCCAGTCAGTGATAGTGGTTAATTGCGAGCGTCGCACAGCTAGGCAACCAGCGCCTGGCTGTACGTATCTAGAATTGTATTGTAGTGCAGTGGGCCTACCGAGCCTGAGATGAGTGATTGCTATTTTTATCACTTCATCAAGCGAAGGCAGCTACTTATCATTAATCAGCTTAGATATGCTGCCTTCAACTTCAAGTTCAACGAGACGGCAACTCGTTTCATGCACTTATCAACCATTTTTCTTAATTAGACTCTAAACTAGATCTAGATCCAACCCTTGCAATTATTGGCCTATTCTTGGCTTGCATGATTGTAATTTTGTATTTAGATCTATAGCCTAGGCCCTAGGCTAATTTGTAAAATTTGATTGAAAGCAGAAATAATCAGAGAAACAGTTTGGCGAAAGTTTGAAATAATTGGACTATTGGACCAATAATAAAAAGTTGTGAATGTTTGAGAGGTGGGGCACTAGATCTATAGTCTATAGACTCTATCTATGTGAATCTCAAATTTGGCAATTGCAAATTGTACAATTTGTAGGTAGGCCTACAGACAGTAGTCGCGAATAGTCTAACTCTTTTTACCGTTTGTCATATACAAAATTATCGCTAATTTCTGTTTCTGCTCCGGGACTATTAAAGTGCCTTCACCCTCCGGCACTACTCAAAATATATTATGGAAAGTTACATGTAGGTTCTCTAAAAAGTAAAGAAAATCCAGAGTCAAACTCATACATATTGAGAAGAAAAAACCCCAACATTTGAGTCATTTTGTGTTAATTGGAACAAATGGGAAAGTTGTCTTATACTTCTACATCAGCTACATTACGGATGGCGATTCAGCCAATTTCAAGTGCCTATTCATACTGTAGTGATTTCAAATATATAACTTTCAAAAATCATAATGAATAACTTTCTTATTTTTTGTCAGATTTTGTTCAAACTTTCACCAAGCTCCTTCTCTGATTAAATTGTTGCTTCCTTTTACTTTTTAGAGTTGGTTGTGTCAAGGGTTGGATTTCCCTGTAGTATGTTGTCTTGTCTTTTGTTTGTTTTTGTTTTGTGAAGAGTTAAAACCTTACGTCGTCAATTGGCCAGATTATGACCTGTAGAAGGTTTTGGGCTTTGTCCTTTGTTTTTATTTTCACAAGAAATAGGCTTAAAGGTTGCTTTATCATGTTGACAATGTAAAAGTTGTAGATGTCTATTGCCCATAAACAGTGTACAGGTATACCCAGACTTTGTGGTTCTGGACACTTGGTTTAAAACAGCATTATGGAGAAGTATCTAGTTAACATACAATATTTCATAAATGTTTTAAGACATAGGTTGGACAATATTATAAAGAAACAATTATTTATTATCTTTGATGTGAGTTTAGAAAAAAATCCAAGGGCAATAGCGACTGTTTTATTTTTGTAATGCATCCGGCCACACATCCCCCTATCATACATGTGTACACGTGCAACCCTGTACCTTGCCTTATAAAGAGTTGATATTAATAGAAATTTATCTGCAATTGATATCAATCGCAACTATACATGTACATTCATGTAAGAGATAGGAGACTGCAAACTTGCGATTGAATGTAGGAATTTCGATTAATATGGATCAATGACAACTCTTTATTGTAAAACAGGGTCCTAGTCTTGTGTATTTTTCATTCTTTTATTATAATTTTAGATCTCTTGTATTTTCTTTTGTATTTTTTAAGCTGATTTTGAGACCCTAACCCACGATGAACTTTCTCTGTATACGTACAGTACATGTCATTTGTACTATTCGGTGCCATGGGGATTTCCTCCCAGTCCTGTAATCGTTGGTCAAATTTGTAATCTCAGAACTGATCATTACAGTTCAATTACAAGCTAGACACAATTCTCTGACATGTACATATAAATAAACCACACGCAAGTGTTACTCACTCACTCATTCGTGCAGCAAAAGAGAACACATTTTACTTAAAAACAGCTGCTGGATTCAAACTAAATTCTTTCTGGAATGGAACCAGGAAAAAGTTTGGTAAATTGAAAATGTAATTACATGTAAGTGACAGCAGGAACTGTTGACCACAAATCCTTGAGGAAACGATTTGTTTTGTACTACCGAAATCCGGGTAATTTACGTTGTCATTCCTTCTCCTCATTGTACTATTTGTACTGTACATGTAGGTCAAGTTATTATGGTAGGTGCACAACTAGAGTTAGCATAACAGACCGTTCAAGGAAGAGCATACATGTAGAACTGCCCAGGAAGGGCTGTATGGATGTAGGCTCCAGAAGCTAGGTTTCTTTTTAGTAAGAGTTAAAGGAGAACTAACCCCAAAGAATAAGTGTAGGTATTTTGAAAAACAAGATGAATTTCTGGCATGCCTTTTGATACAGGTACAATAAATCTTACAAACGTGTACAAGAGATATAAATGAACTTTTCTTGGTATAATGTAATGCCTTTTCGCATGACATGGACGGAGCCATTTTCTTGAAAATGTGATGTACCAGGCGGAGTTGTACATGGATCATGCGCCAAGCTTTAATTGGAACAGCACAAACTTATTTTTGCAATTTGCGGTCTGGCAATGGAGTACAAATGATAATAGCAGGTGAATGAAATGCTTCAACAACAAGAACTCTTTGGAAGGAAACATCAACAACTTTGAATACATTTAGTTGATTAACGACTCGGCATAATGGCGAAGCCCATGTCTTGCTGAGAAACTTTATGCCTTTCTCATACACTTTCTTGGGGAATCATGTAGATTGATTGGCAATTAAAAAATGCAATAAATCTCTCAAAACAACCATTAAAAGTTATTCTTTGGGGTTAGTTCTCATTTAAAGGATCAGTTTTGTACTACCAAATTCTTGTGAAACCGCATTGTCATTTCTTCCTCTCATTGTACTTTTTGTAGGTCAAGATATTCAGTCCGTGCACTACAAGAGAGATCATAACAGACCGTGCAAGGAAGAGGATCGAACTGCCCAGGAAGGGCTCAAGAAGCCAGGCTGCTTTTAGTAAGAGTTGAAGGAGAAACAGAGAAAGAACAAAATGGAGAAAATGAAAAGAACTGGTCTGCATGGACTGTGCCTTGCAGTGTTGATTGTGGGCTTAGCCGTTCATGAGGCGAAAGCTGTTTCGGTAAATAACGATGGGAACATCACTTTTGCGGACCTCCCTGAAGGAGACCCGTACTCCTCACCAGAGTCCTTCGACGAAGGAAGCTTCCCCTTACCAACAACTTGGGATTTTATTGGAAACTTTCTATCTTCAGTCTCCCCTGGAGAACCACCTTATGGTAAGTTGAACATTATCTCATTGTCATGGTCTCATGGTCTGTCTTCTACTAATTCTGTTAAACCCTGATCGAGGTGAAGATCACCTCAGATTAATTCCTTTGTTTAAAGGTAAAGACCAGTAATGGTCATGCGATTGCATTGTGAAAGAAACGTTGTGGAATCGATCAGAAAAGGTTGATCATCTAGCATCTAGCATCTGCAAGGTTCTAGAATCATCAAAATGATAAGAAATTTGGCCCATTCTTTGTAAAGTTACAAGCACTATACACAGAAAGATGTATATGGGACTACCCTATCTCTCTCACCAGACCATGAGAGAAATAAATTTACCAAATATATGAATTAGTAGGCGGTTTCCCGGCAAATTTTTTATCATCATGTATTAGTCAAAATATATTCTTTCACATGATTGGTAATGAGAGCTTCCATTTCATTTTTTGAAATTGGGGCGTTGCCAATACTGGTCTTTACCTTTAACCAGATATCGGACAAAAGCTTTAATAGACCCAGCATCATTTTTAATTCTAGTAGAATTTAGACCATTCATACAGTTCTAAATACAATGTTCTTTAGGATGTACAACTGTATGACACATACTCTGGTGAAAATTACTCTGGTGATAATTGCTCTGCAGTCATTATCCTTTACTACCTTTAAGCTGGGACCAAAAACTATACATCCAGTGTATCCCTAATCCTAATCCTAACCCTATAATCTGTAAAACTGAAACTTTTCTGAAGCGTTTTCACTAGGGCAAGTATGAAATCGTGATCACTGTTTTCCTCTTTAATCTTCCCCTTTAATCTTCCCCTTTAATAACTCTGTATTTCTTTTTTCATCTTCACAATGCACATTGCTTGATATCAAAACTGGCTGTAGATTTCTGAAAGGCCTTGTCAACTAGTAAAGTTTGTGAAGGTATTTAATATTTTAGTTCATTTGATGACTTGATAGTTTTCAGGCTCTCCATCAAAGTAAATACACAGCAATAGGTCTTCTCTGATTGTTAACAAAATAAAGCATCCAGATTTGCTTTGAGACAGGTTGAACCGTTGTGCAGAAAAAAGGAATTAAAGGCCTTCCAAACTCCTTATTTCAAAGAAATATTTGTTTCATAATTCATATATATAATGTTTTACTTTTCCTTTTTTGTCACTTATCTCGTAGAGATAGTGTAATTATGTGTATACATGTACATGTTGTTACTTTAATATAATGTGGGCATGCCAAAATGATGTACCAAAAGGGAAGATTACAGATTTTTATCATACTTTTCTTATCTTGAAAGGGGATAGTGTAATGAAGTGTATACATGTTTTTACTTTTAATGTGGGCATGCCAAAATGATGCACCAAAAAGAAAGATTACAGATTTTTATCAAACTTTTCTTATCTTGAAAGGGGATAGTGTAAAAAAGTACATGTTTTTACTTTAATATAATGTGGGCATGCCAAAACAGTGTACCAAAAGGGAAGATTACAGAACTTGCATGCATACAGTGTAGCATACATACATGTGTCTTCACAATATCCTTGATTCCCATGACCTGTTGCTAATCTAAGTGAGGCAGCTAGTGAACCTCGGCTCAGCTCTTTCTGAGTCACAGGCAGTGTGCTACATGTAGCTGTGAGTCAGCTGCTCCGATCTTGGCTTTCCGAATACAAATCGGCTCGGAACATAATTTGTTTTCATAAACAGCGTGATGAATGGATTCAACACTAACCAGAAGTGCCCTGCATGTTGGCATTCATGTTTTTTTGAGGCCAGACCTGCCCTTATACTCACGAACCATTAGGTTATATAAATTCAATTTTTAGTTTCTTGTCTGGATAATATGAAAATGAAGAAAAGTTTTATATTTTGTTTGATAGTTAATATCTTGTTTGTACATTATACAAATTACTGTTGATACATTTTCACCATTCAATGTATACAGTGTACAGATGCTTAAAAATAATGTGATATTTTGCAATAACAGGGAATAATTTTCCTCAAATTTTTTGATTAGCAATTTCAGCCGATGGATAAATATTTCAAATGAAATTCTGTACATTTCTATGGAAGAAAACTGCTACACAAAAGATATTTTGTATAGCAGTCATGCAAAAATGCATAGCAAATTGCGATGCGATACCAGGAAAATTATTCCCTGAATAATGCAATAAACAGTGTAGTAATTATTTTTGTAAACCCCTTCGTCTGCATGCCCTAGAACACATAACAAGGTCATCATCCAACAAATTTGAATCAGGCTTAATTGGCACGCGCACAAGAATGAAATGAATTTGAGTGCAAGCCCCGTGACTGATACCAAAGAGATCTGTTTGCTGATACTAGTAATCTAAATCACTGAAGCCAGTTAAAGAACATTGTTGAATGACAGTCTCCATTGAAGATGGTATTTGCGCGAATGTATAAATTGAAAGAACGTTTTAGTAAATGGACTGAAAAGCTGCGAAATTGGCCGGGAAACCTATGATATAAAACAAGACAGTTTCAAAGACATTCAAAAAATCAACCTAAGGCAAATTCAATAGCCCTACATACATGTACAGTTATGTGTGTCACATATTTTCTCAAATGTAGGAATATTACAATGACATCACTTAATCTAAACATTAGGCCTTTAAGTTGATTTTTCGCAAGTTCTAAGCCCTACATGTAAATGGCGTGTAAGTTTCAGCATTCCAATAAATGAGATATTTTTCACTCGGTGCATGGCTGCAATTGAAGATAAATAGAGAGACAGAGACAGAGAGCAAGAGACAGAGACAGAGAGCAAGAGACAGAGACAGAGAGCAAGAGACAGAGAGCAAGAGACAGAGACAGAGAACAAGAGAGCAAGAGACAGAGACAGAGAGCAAGAGACAGAGACAGAGCAAGAGACAGAGACAGAGAGCAAAACGGAGAGAGAAAATGAAATTGAATAAACTTCTTAAATTGACATGCGTGTACATGATTGATACCCCACATTGAGTAGTCAATGTACTTTGTACACCCTGTACATGTACACATGGATATTAAGGATATTAAAGGTAATACAAAGTTTTGGTATATTGTAGTGCTGTAATCAAACGTTTAACCGTCCGGTATCCGACCGCCCATGGTGGATTCCGTTTTCAATTGGACGGTTTCGTTTTCCCGTTTTTTTTTTTTTTTTTTTTTTTTTTTACATAATTTTTTTTTTTTTTTTTAAATATTTTTTTTTTAATTGTTTTTTTTTTTTTAAGTTTCGATGTATGCCCCTCCACCTGGCACTGTGCCTGGCAATGTCTCCCAGCTCAGTAATCTGTGTGTTGACTCACCACTAAAACAACACTCCAATTTGTCTGTCATCTTGGTTTGAAAGTAATCTTTGTAATAGATCTCAATATGTAGTTTATAATAATAATTCCTCAATTTTTTTTCTATAACAAATGGTGTACCACAAGGTTGTATCCTACATGTAGGTACCCTTCTGTTTTTAATTTACATTAATGATCTTACACATTCTTCTAAAAACGACATTGTTACTATTATTTGTGACAAGTTCACAAGCACAAATTGGCACCTTAAAATGCACCTCGCAGTTAAATGAAAGTCCTTCCCGCTTTTTCACACGGACCTGGCTTGCTGCCGACAGAGTCGGTAAATTTTTTTTTTTTTTTTTTTTTTTCAACTTTTTTTCTTCAATCGTTTAACCGAAAACCGTCCGGTTTTGACTGGCGGTTAAACGGAATTGGAGATATCCGTGATGTTACAGCACTAGTATATTGTCATGAATTTGGTTCAAATGAACATATTGGAAGCATATGCGATCCTACAATATTCTGTGATCGTTGTCGCGGTTGAAACGGAGTCTGAAGTGATGAAATTGTAAATAATAAACTCTTTATGTTGTATAGTCCCTCTCAAGGTCAAGATATTAATTTAGCTATAAAACAATGTTTCTTGACTAAAATCAACCAATTGGCTATTCCTGTTTGGAAACTATATATCACAACTTTATATTCTGTGATTTGCATGGTCGCAGCTACCATTGTTTGGCCATAGGCGCTATTTGAAATTTATCAAAATTTACCGGGAGCACCGGTAAATGTTTATATTCAGTTAATCTCGAAAACAGAAGTGTTTTAGGGGCTTAATTTTCTAGTGCTTATAATACATCTATAGGGGCAGCCAAATATATCAATATTGTAAAGAACCACTATCCAGCCAATTTTCAAAATTTCCCAAAACTTTGTATTACCTTTAAGCTCAAATGACTAAACCCAAGGAGGCTTTACAGTAACCTTCTTTTTTTTGGGGGGGGGGGGGGGCTGGCCTCGTATCACTCGGATTGTAGTGAGGAGTTCAAAAATAGGTGCATTACAATTGTTCTTTAAATTATATTTGGGTCATTGTTAAACAAACATTTTTTTTCAATTGCTGTTTATTGACCAATACTGATGATGGAAATTTATTTTGTAAAGGTCACCAAACAAATTATCATCCTGAACTGATGGCAACCTAATTTGGGTCAAATATTTGTACTTTACTCCAGACCACAACAGTCATAGCCACTGGACTTTGAAATAGGTAACCTAAAAAAAAAAAATAGTAACTTATTTTTCTAATTTTATAATGATAGGAAACTGAAGAGTGATTTCTTTGGGCAGAGAAAATGAGAGAGAGAAACACAAAGAGAGAGAGAGAGAGAAAGAGACAGTGAAGAGAGAGAGAGAGAGGGGGGGGGGGATGGAGGGTTAGTTGATGGTTTGATATTTTATTTTACCGGACGAGCATGCTGTACGCAACCAGGGGATCGACAGTTTTAAGTCCTTTCCGAGAGACTTGGTAATGGGGATTAATGCCTCACCAAAGGGCACTGTTGAATCCACTTGATTTCGCACCAAGGTCTTTCCAGTTTAATAATGCGAGACCATTGCTCTTCCACTGAGCAACTTCACCTCCTCACAAACTAAATTTTTCAAATCCCTTGTAAATTTTATGTTTTTTTTTATGTAACTTGAAAATGAAA